AAGAAACTTAGACAATCTGGAATCACCCAACCTCTACTTTCACAATTTGTCAACTCTTGTATCTTACCTATTCTACTTTACTGCTCCCCGTTAGTCTTTCCTGGGCTACTGAAAAAGGACTATACCATCCTGAGAAGGATGTTGAAGGTAGTCAGTAGGACTAGTGGTGTAAAACTCAGTCAGCTCGTCACTACTTTAGTTGAAAGGCATCTGAATACATGCGAAAAATGGTCAAAAACCATACTTTCCGACCCCAAACCCCCCTTCTATTCCCAACTCTCGCCTTGTATCTCATCAAGTAGAACCAGAAATCAGTATAAAATAATCTATGCTCGTACAACCAAGTACAGGAACTCAACGATACCATACTTGGCCCGTGTTCTAAGTGACAGAGACAATGTTAATCGTGAAACCTATGACTTGCTTTGTTGTTAATAATCATAATTTTAGGCTGTTTTATTTCTCTCTTATTTTGTATTCTATAGTGAACTCCTTCTTAAACATACTTAGCTACCTAAATTATTAACATTGGCTTACGTTTTTGTACTTTACTGTTTTCCTTCTTTTGTGTATCTACTGGTTCCGACTATATTAGCACTATGAGTATTACAAAATTGTCCTGTCATTAACCATCATGTAATTATTAGTTTTTTGGTTGTTTTTCTTATTTTCTATACTTTTCAGCAATATTAACTGACAATCATTGGTTGTGAACGCCATTATCACCACCTTAAAAAATTTTGTATTATGTAGGATTACTCACACTACCACTACAAACACTGCATTAGATCTGACAATGAAAAAACCTGAAATGTTATTTTATGATTGTTTAGAGTTGTTTCAACCAAATTAACTGATCATCTTGGCGATAAACATTCTTAAATATCATTTCATAACTTCTTGTATGACTATAGCTTTACTGTCACCATGCATAATCATATCATAGCTTCCACTACCCAATACTGAGTTATTATTATATGCTGTTTATTTTTTCTTTCTACTTCTTGGTACTTTTTCCCATTTATAATTATTTTGTGTTTAACCTGTTTTTTTTTGCTGTTGTTGTCTTTATATTTATTTTTTTTGAAATACTCCTTTTAAGTGTTTGATAAAATTAGATGCAAATATTGTAGATATATGCTAAAAATTCCACACTGTACCACTAATATTGTTTCTGGAATAAAGCAAATTATTATTAATCGACTTTATTGCTTCAGTCTCTGTGTTGCATTTAATAAAACCTGACAGTTGTAAGCAACAATTCCTCGGCTTAATCTTCCTGACTAGCAAACCGCTCACGACCCACTTTCTTAATAAATACCATTAAAAACAGGATATTCACTTCACAATGTGAATACTCAATGCAACTTAAGTAAATCATGATGATAAATAATTGTATCTATAATTTATATGATGAAGCATCACACTGATTTCGCAACCTGAATCTGAAACATCAAGATGGCCATCTATTTCCTGTTGAATCATTCTATTAAGTTACTGTCGGAATGAGAGATGAACTCTAAGTTTCATTCTTTTTGGATGTTTCATTAAAAAGGAGGGATTTGAAGGTTCTCCTCAGAGATCAGTCTACAAGAAATTAACATAGAATAGTTAATACATGAATTGTCAAATTCGGATCCTTTTCAGAATAAGAAGGATTCACACCAGTGATAAAAGTGGTGATCAACTGAAAACACTGAGACAAGTTGTCAATGAGAATGGACATCCTACAAGATTGATCAGGAAAAATATGATGAAAGTAAAGTAGGAACTTAAATGAACCGAAATGGTGTGGAAGAAATCATGGATGTTGAACTTAAAAGCTGTAGCATAGCTGTACCATAGACATGAAAGGATTAGCTGTCTTCGATCATAGGTGTCTGCGTTCTATGTCCCGCGTGAAGTGGTATAATAAGGTGAGCAATATTGAGGTTAGGCGTCGAGTGCTAGGTAAGGTGGGGAAATCAATAGACGAGACTGTGAAATTACATCGACTGAGATGGTTAGGACATGTGCTACGTATGCATAGTCATCGCCTTCCTCGACCGATGGGCAATGTTAGCTGATATAGGGTCAGGCTGGAAAAGAGTAGCTAGCGGCGGTCAAACGAAAACATGGCACCAGTCAATGAAATCCACAACAGTTAGTCTAAGCCACGTAGGAAGGTGTAGACTTCCTGGTTGGGGTCCTCGGGACGGTAAAAACCAATGGTTGGAAACAATTGGTGACATGGCTCAAAATCGTTCTCAATGGCTGGCGCAGATGCATCCACTCCTTATGGCTTATGATTTCCAATTAAAATGTTTTGTTCTTCGTTATTACTATTCCTTTGTCTCACACCTCTGTTTACTGTCTATATTATGCATTTCTCCTACTTTCTTCTCTTGCTTTGTGTGCTACATGGAGTGTGGTGACTTGAACTGCCGCACATATGTGCAAATATTCTATGCCGAAAACAGACAGACAGACAGACCATAGCTGAGAGTCTGGCCTCTGATAAAAAATTCGTTTCGGCTGAACTACGGAGCAAATTCTACTGTTACCTAATGATGGATGGATTTGTGAAGGGTATTTATTTATTTATCTGCTCACGTGGATAAAGTATACAATTTCCAAACGCATCTCTGAACATTATTCGGAATGATTATCAATAGGGTACTGAAAGCCAGTTACTAGGTCATTTCTAGAGCACCTTGATTGACTCAAGCCACTCAGCTCCACTGGAGTCCTCTTTTAAAATTATTCCCTACAAGGAAAAGGTCGAACGATGGAAGAGGTGTCATCTTGGGACCCTTGTGTGTGTGTGTGTGGGCGGAGGCTCTAGGAATTCCCTGACACAATACTAAATCCTGTGTGTAGAAAAGGTTTGTTCAGTCTCTTATTTTATATTATAGTCCTAAACTCCATCATCACCAACGATATTCCTAATTGTGGTGGACTGGATTATGCGTCAGACAGTGGAAAACGAGAAGACAGGGATATCCCGGCCCAACGTGAATAATCTAGAAGACCTGGATTTCCCCCTTGGATGATTTATGTTTGATGTCACACAAAATCAAAAAATTACAAGCGAAAACCGACAAACTGGTTGAAGAAGCAGCAAAGACAGGAAGGAATCCAGGTGAACATAGACAAGATGGAGGTTATGAAAATAACCAACCAACAACAACAACAGCAACATCCACCGCCAATCACCATCAACAGGAGGGATTTGAAAGAGGTTACTTCATTCACTCACTTATCTAGGGAGCATTGTCTCAACTACAGGCAGATGGAACGGACGAGGATGTCAAATCTAGAATCGGGAAGGCGAGAAACACATTCATCAACCTGAAACCAATCTGGAAATCTTCCGCTGTCACTCCTCAACATCAACAACAAAATTCGGATTTTCAGTACAAACGTCACGTCAGTCAGTTCTTCTATACGGATGGATCAGAAACTTGGCGGCGGGTCACAAAGAATATTTCCAACAGCCTGTTGCAGACCTTAATCAACAACTTACTGTCTTCGCTGGCTCTACACTGAAGATCAGATGGCCGGAAAGAATAAGAACCAACAAGAAACTATGGGAACAAACGAAACAAACAAGAACCAATCGCTCAACAAATATGTAGGAGAAAGTGGAGATGGATTGGACACTCACTGGCTGAGGAGGCCACTCGCTGGGTGACATCGTGCGTCAGGCCATAGCTCGAGTGGACATCGAAGGGGAAGCGGCGAGTGTGACGTCGAAGGGTGACATGGAGGAGATCGTGTGAAGAGGAGTTGAAACAGTATGTACTATCATGGATGCAAGTGAAAAGTACAGCAGAAGACAGAAGCAAGTGGAGACGTGTAGTTGAAGCCCTATATTCCACTGGAACCCAAGGGAACAATAATAATAATAAACTCCATCATACTTGTTTGTCACTATTCCTAAAAACCGCTTCACCAGTACAACACTCACATCTCTTTTTTTGCACATTTTACGAGTCAGTCTTTTTGTAACTACATTCACAATTTTCAAATGGACACTAGACCACCTTACTTCTCATCCGCTGACAATTTTTAAATATATTTTATAGTTTAAGATCTAAGATTCAAAGCTGATGACCCGCTGACGAATCTGCTTAGACTGATAATACTGTTCTAACATCCTCAACTCCTCCTTTTTATCAAGTAATGCGTGTTGGAAAAAGTATTCAGGAGACGTCGGTTCCCTTTCATGAGTGTTGATTTTGTCACTTCATGGGGGAGGGAGGTGTTGTAACCAGGTCAGATTCTGTTTTAGTCCATCAATCCTATTCAGGTAATTTGGATTCCACTTGATATGAAGTGCTTCTGATGATGTTAGACGTTCTTTGTGATTTCTGAAGTTTTTCTGGATTATTTCAATATTGTCAAAATCAATTTTGTGGCCTGATTCTATAGCGTGTAGACGAGCTATGGCTGATGATTTTTCAAGTTTTTCCAGTTCAATTGGACCACCGAGAAATCCAACACGAATGTGATATGCAATTTCACTATGTAAACACACACTGCCTTTATAATTTTAAACACTGATCAAATCGAACAATCTACACTTGATTTTGTTATCTTTACCAATTGACCAACTTGACAACGAAAAATGACCCCAGACTGACGAACGATGATCAAGTTAGTAAACTTTGTTTTGATACCATAACAGATGTACTATTACCTTTGTTATTTGGTTTAGTGATCTTCATTGGTATTTTAACTTTCAATATGTCCTTTTAACTTGACCTAAGCCTATTTTCTCACCCCTTAACTCTTTGTTATATATATGCTGAGATTTTGTAAATTCCGGTTTAATAATACTTTGATAAAGCTATTAGCAGCATTAAATAGCGAAACGTCAGTAAAAACAATATCGTTTTGTTTTTCATTCATTGGGAAATACAAAAACCTTTACTATAATGAATATCATATACCCAATGCCCAAATTTTTTCAAACTGTTAAAAGTGAACTTGGTTTGGATATATATGTAATTTAATTTACACTTCGTAAAAATTATCTTTTTTAACAATCTCTTCACAAACAAAGACATTTTAATTTACAACAAATGCATTATGTATTTGTATTTCTTATGCGTGTGTGCGTGTATGTGAATTTTGTTTTAATGAATTGTTTTCATTTTTCTTTTCCTTTCATTAAATTGTGGTGAATTTAAATTTGTTAAATGTACTTGTCTTTGTAAAGTAGCTGTTTTATTAGGTGATGTAGAAGAGCATGTATTTACAACGCATAGACCAGTTTGATATTACTATTATATTATTATTATCTTCATGTTCATACATAATTGGTGTTATACAACATTGTCTATGTAATAATCCCGAGGTTGAACATAACGGTTGATAAATAAATTCTTTATTTAATCCTGATAGATCTGTTGCTTTCAACAGAGTGTATGGACTTTCACGATTTTGTGAGTTCATTTCAATAATATAAGCACCACCAGGTGCAATAGGATTGTGTAATGCTGAAATTGTATTATATTTGTGATTTGGATTCATGTTATTATTATTATTATTAACATTGTTGCTATTATTATTGTTTAGTGGAATTATTTGTACTGAATGTTGAGGAAGAATTACACGGTTGTGGACTGCTACTGTGTTTAAATGTATCTGCTGTATCTATAGTTCGATAAGTAGAATCTTTTAATAGGATATGATCACACGGTGAATTTGATGCTGTATTCTGTACACAACGAAGTAAATTGAACTCTGGACAGTGTTCTAAATAATTATTAATATAATAAAAAAATATATTAATAGGAGAAGTACTTGTACAGACTACTTAGAAAAATATATAGCAAATAATAAAAATAGTTTCACGGAAAAACAAGCTTTGTAGAGTTTAATTCCAGGCTAGATTTCATCATGACTAGATGCCGTTTACGGACTCATTGAAATTCAGGAAGTACACACTGAACATCTGTTTCGTCTTAATTAAGAACTGTTCAGCTATCTCAACTTCATCGACTTTGAAAACGCCTTTGACAGCGTCGATCGAGAGGAGATTTGGAAACTACTACGCTACTAAGGGGTGCCACCGACAATTAAACATCTCATCCAACAACTGTACGACAATGCTGCATGCCAAGTAATCCACAACAAGAAAATTACAGAAACCTTCGAAGTGAGAACAGGAGTAAGACAAGCTGGCTGCCTACTATCGCAAATGATTTTTCTGATTGCAGTAGATTGGATAATGCAACAAACAGCGTCAGACAATGAGGAAACAGGCATAAAATTGACTCGCACAAAAAACTTGGAAGACCTAAACTTCGCCGATGACATACGTCTGATTTCCCACAAACTGGAAGATATGCAAGCGAAAAGCAACAAATTGGCAGAAGAATCATCTAGGGAAGATAGGACTTCAGGTGAACATGAGAAAAAACAGAGGTGATGAAGATTCCTGGACAACACCACCAACAGGAACAACAACAACAGACAACAATTAGCCAGCATAAACAGGAGAAATCTTAAATAAACAACCTCCTTCACCAGCCGAACTGAGAAGCATCGTTTCAACTACAGGACAGCGGAACTGACGAGGATATCAGAGCAAGAATCGGAAAAGCAAGACAAGCTTTCTTTACTCTCAAGTCTGTGTGGAGGTCAACACTCAGCATCAAAACGAAGATAAGATCCGGATTTTCAACTCCAGTGTGAAGTCAGTCAGTGCTACTCACTATACGGATGGATCAGAGACTTGCACTGCGCGTCATAAACAGCATCTCACACAAACTACACACCTTCATTAACAGTTGTCTTCGCTCAATACCACTCAAGATCAATTGGCCGGCCAGAGAAGATCAGCAACAGAGTGGTATCTCTGTCAATGAGCGAACCAACTCACCAGGAACCGATTGTGAAACAAATAGGCAGGCAGGAAGAAATGAAGATGGATTGGCTGGCCATACTCTGAGGAAACAATGCATCACGTGATATCATTAGACAAGCCATTACTCGAGTGGAACCCGACTGAACGGGAAGCGGCGAGTTGGTCGTCAGTGCGAGGGTGGGTGACTTGGAGGAGGTGATGTGAAGAGGAGATGAAAACGTGTGGGCAGACTTGGAGCCAGGTGAAGACTGTAGGAGAGAACCGAACGCAATGGAGACGCAGGCTGAAGCCCTATATTCCTCTAGGAATTAAAGGAAACAATAATAATAGTAAATAATAATCAGCTATATAACTACTCCAGGAATCGACGCTAGGACTTTGGGTTGCCAGGTGAATATGATAACAGTAAGATGGATGGTTGGTGGCGGTCATCAGGAAGCCTTGGGTGTAGGTTTTATGCTTGTTAGCACTCGTCAGCAAGGCATATTATCTGCAGTATTGTTGGAACTCATGTCTCTTCTGTGAATGTAACCTGCGTTACTACTCAACGCTGAGATCGAAGACATAACCACTGAGCTCTTCAGGCTCACGACTGACCTCCTGTAGGACTGTATTGACCTGTTGGTGGCTTAGCGATAGAATGCTTACCAACCACGCATGTGTTCTGGGGTTCGATCTCCGGTTGACGCACGCTTCTACCTCCCTGAGTCGGTAATAAAACAGGCTAGCAACCCCATCCCGTAAAAATAAACACCACTGTTACCGAAAATTCGAAGCTCTAACTTGAATTCCTATTTCTCACTAGGAACGTTAAGGAATATTATTATTTATTATTGTTTCCTTTAATTCCTCGAGGAACATAAGGCTTCAGCCATGCGTCTCCACTCCGTTTGTTTATCTACTAGAGTCTCCACCTGGCTCCAAGTCTGCCAACACGCTTTCATCTCCTCTTCACATCACCTCCTCCAAGTCACCCACCCTCGCACTGACGACCAACTCGCCGCTTCCCGTTCAGTCGGGTTCCACTCGAGTAATGGCTTGTCTAATGATATCACGTGATGCATTGTTTCCTCAGAGTATGGCCAGCCAATCCATCTTCATTTCTTCCTGCCTGCCTATTTGTTTCACAATCGGTTCCTGGTGAGTTGGTTCGCTCATTGACAGAGATACCACTCTGTTGCTGATCTTCTCTGGCCGGCCAATTGATCTTGAGCTAAGTATTGAGCGAAGATAACTGTTAATGAAGATGTGTAGTTTGTGTGTTTCAGATGCTGTTTATGACGCGCAGTGCAAGTCTCTGATCCATCCGTATAGTGAGTAGCACTGACTGACTTCACACTGGAGTTGAAAATCCGGATCTTATCTTCGTTTTGATGCTGAGTGTTGACCTCCACACAGACTTGAGAGTAGTGAAAGCTTGTCTTGCTTTCCGGATTCTCGCTGCTTTGATATCCTTGTCATTTCCGTGCGCCTGTAGTTGAAAAGATGCTTCCCATGTAAATAAAATAGGTTGTTTCTCTAAGGCTCCTCCCATTTATGGTGATCGCGTTAAGGAATAAATAGAAATTAATTAATATAGGATTGTATAGGATGCTTTGGTTAGTCACCAGGTGGTGAGTAACTAGTATCATCCATCTAGCCCTTGATTTCGTGCAGACTGAATTCTGTTAGTCAAGGTTTGCTATGACTTTGATTAGTATCTGGTGACCCATCAGAGGGCATGATGCTTGCTAGTCAGGCAGTGAGATAGAATCCAACGGTCCATAAACTCTAATTTTCACAGATCCAAAATATTACTTTCCTCACAACACTATATCTGTGGTACACGTGTTGCACTTTGCTGGGCTTAGGAGAGGCTGTCATTTAAAACAACTCGTCTTTATAAGAAATTTAGATAGTTTCAATAAAAGACCGAGTTTATCAGGTAAACACATTATTACGTAAGTAGCATATATATATATTTCATTCTTGTCTAATCAGCTTCTTAGTTTACACAAATTGTATGTATTAATTCTGTTCAGACAGAAGAGATTAGTAGGCAGACAAAAAGTAACAGGTTTAATCACTTTCAAATAGAGTGAATCATTTTACGCTTTAGATTTATACCCTACAATAATTTGGAAAACTTCTCAATTTCACTCCAAAAACAATCTTTGAGTAAAGAATATTCTTTTCAATAAATTTATCATCAGGTTCTGTATTTAACTGACCATAATAATAAAAACGATAAAGCATCAGTAAGAGATTATATATATGTATTTTTTTCCTTCACGTTCCTCAGTGGAACATAGAGCTTCAAGCTAGTGGCTTGAAGTTTCTGCAGCAGTGTTTATTTTACAGGATGGGTTGCTAGACTCATGCCCAACTTTCCTCTTACAGCATATATCTGGCTCAGCGAGGTAAAGAGTCGTCGGCCGGATCGAACCCCGACATGTCATGGTGGCCGTCTAACCGCTTACCACGAGCGATAATATATATTGACATAAATCAACCCATCAGCTTTGTTCCTCTCCAGTATGAAAGAAATTCAATAGGCACCTTCAACTATACGGACAGAACTGTTTGTTCAGAAGATGCAATGGGAGACGAACTTATGGTTGCGTACGACGCGTTAAATGAAAACAGTTAACCCTAAAAATTTCATTAGACAGTAGAAAAGAATTCTTCCCTATCTGTTAAAAAGAAGCTTTTAAACATACGACTGTAATTTAAAGGGGATTTACCAAGTGAAATCCGACTTAAAGAAAGTTTAATGCCGGATTATTCTCTCCATAATACCGGTTGTGATTTCTAAAGTGAAAGACGAAGTGCCTAGGCTAGCCATATTTAATTGTATCGATCAATTCAACTGCTCCCGTGGAGCCAGTTATAGTGCCTTCGCTATAGGAAATCAAATTTTCGTGCTCTGGAACATCTACCAGAGTGGCTAAATAAAAGTGTTGTTAAGATCGTCAAAAGTTCAATACTAAATCGCTTCTTCAAAACAGACCACAAGGTCACCATTGAAGATTCTTATTCTATCACCAATCGAATACCGAATAAATCGCCAAAAGCCTCTCTAAACAGCAGAAGCCATTACAATTCACAACAACCGAAAGAAACTGATCCAGCCACCAATGCTAAATTGACCCGCTGTCAAGTCTATATATTCATAAATTCTGTATTACTTCCCTTAATTTATCTGATGTTTAGTTTAGTGTTGTATTAATGCAAATTATCTCTCATGGAAGCTTTTGAAATGTAATCTGTCGATTTTAGTGATTTACTATCACTTATTATTATTGTTTCCTTTAATTCCTAGAGGAACATAGGGCTTCAGCCGTGCGTCTCCATTGCGTTCAGTTCTCTGCTACAGTCTTCACCTGGCTCCAAGTCTGCCCACACGCTTTCATCTCCTCTTCACATGACCTCCTCCAAGTCACCCACCCTTGCACTGACGACCAACTCGCCGCTTCCTTTCATTCGGGTTCCACTCGAGCAATGGCTTGTCTAGTGATGTCACTTGATGGTTTGTTTCCTCAGAGTATGGCCAGCCAATCCATCTCCATTTCTTCCTGCCTGCCTATTTGTTTCACAATCGGTTCCTGCTGAGTTGGTTCGCTCATTGCCAGAGATCCCTCTGTTGCTGATCTTCTCTGGCCGGCCATCTGATCTTGAGTGGTATTGAGCGAAGACAACTGTTAATGAAGGTCTGTAGTTTGTTTGAGATGCTGTTTATGACGCGCAGTGCAAGTCTCTGATCCATCCGTATAGTGAGTAGCACTGACTGACTTCACATTGGAGTTGAAAATCCGGATGTTATCTTCGTTTTGATGCTGAGTGCACTGTTGACCTCCTGCACACAGACTTGAGAGTAGTGAAAGCTTGTCTTGCTTTTCCGATTCTT